AACAGTGCTCTGCAAAGGTTCCAAGAGCTGCATTTCTGAAGTGCATGAAGCTGACTTGAAGATACAGTTGCAGATCCTATCAGAGTCTTATGAGTAATAATGAGATTTCTCACCATTTAGAGCATACAAATGACTGAAGCTACTGCATTAAGTTATCAGAATGTTTTCCTGGCAGTTATAATTACAGAAAATAAACAAATATTCACTCACAGTTGTCAAATGAACAAGGCAAGATATTGAAGGCATTTCTTTATACACTGCTACAATGGCTTAGCCAGGCACTTAGGCTAGTGCTTCCCTACTGACCCACAGTTTAATTTGCAAAGGTTTTAGTTTATCTGCATTTTCCACCTCCTAGATAAAAAAATTTTGAGAGGGGGGAAAAAAAGCACAAAAATATTTTAAAAATTACTTAAATAATATTTTTATCTCTTTCACTGATGAAAACAAACAAACTCAACAGTAACAAGAACAAAACCCATAAAAACCCAAACAACAATAAAAGGAGAGATGGCAAAGAAAAAAATAGCAATATTCAAAAAATATTAAAATTAGATATTTCTATTGAAAAATATATTTAAGTTCTTCTTCAGTTGCTTTAAATGTCTGGATTATTGTCTCGGAATATTCTTACAGAACTCTAGTTTTGATTAAACAACTGTTGTTTCCAGTCTTCAGTTCTTTAATGCATGACTTTGAAAATTTCTTGATTGTTGTGAGATTTGTAGGTTGGAATACACATGGATACCAGCTTCATGCTCACATCAATCTTTAAATGGAACAAAAGTAATTGGGACAGGAAGTCAGCCACAGAAAACAGATAAGGCTAATATAGTAATGGGGCCTAATTATTTTTTTTAAATGCTTCAATCTTCCTGTAGCCTAGTTTCTTCAACTCTCATTCACATAGTAGCAAAATTACATAGATATTAAAGTAATACTAAAATGCTTTAAGATTGAAGTCCTACAAGAGCTGATAGACCCACTCTTACAAAACTCATAGTTTAAAATTAGGCCAAACACTGTCACTAAAGCTTGCATAGCAGGAACACTTCAAACACCCTACAGAGAGTTTGCCATGCTTTTAACTTTTTGTGAAGGCATTAAGTGTCAAGGCCAGGAAAATCAGCCTTTCCTCCTTAAAATGTCTTGAGCAAAATAATCCAGGAGAGTTAAGAAGGACAACGGCCATTACTGAATTGAATTATTTGTCGAGATGGATGCTTGGAAGGAAAATTCCTCTTAGTCCAGGCCTTTGCACTGTGTGCTCAGAGTTATGTTCATCACCCCCTCTAATAGATCTGTCCTCCATATATGGTGGTGATTGCAGAATCCTCAAAATTCAGCAACTCTCTCTCACATCTGGCCACAAGCTGTTACTGACACAGAGGCTGAACAGTGCTTTTATGAAGAGCTGCACATGTGGAAAGCATGGAATTATTGATTTACCAAATCTATATGAGTTTTAATGAAAAAAAAAAAAACAAAAAAAAACAAACTTTGGAACTTTAGAAGAGACTCATCTCAGGAAATACTGGCTGGTCATCATATCAGCCATTCTTATCTTTGGGTGATATAAATGGAAATTGAGAATTTAAGAATACTATGGAAAGGATGTTATACAATGGGTATGGGACATGCAATGCACTGTTTTAAAGGTTTATGTGAGCAATAAGTAAGTATATAAATCATGTATTATATGAACCACATGTATTAATACAAACACATTTATTTTCCAATGCTTTCTTTTTCTCCCCCAGGTGACCCAGCTGTTATGAACACCTTTGCCATTAAAGGACTCTGGAATTAATCAGAAAAAAAAATCCATTGAAATATTTCTTTATTGAAGTACCTTAATGTTGATGTTTTCATAAAAAGAAAGAAAGCTAAAAATCACTGCTGGAGGAGAGCTCTACTTGTCACTAATTTTGCTAAAGAATTTATCTTGCCAATTAGTTCTTTCTCACTACAACTTCCATCCATCTAAAAGCTGGCTTGCTACAACTCATCAGGATTCTAAAGCAATAACAAACACAGGGACTTTGTAAATCAGAACTCATTTCATTCATGCTGTGTGCACTTCTAATTGCATAATATTAAAGCAGGGCTTGTAGGCAGGTGAACAGATAAAGAATAAACTCAAAAAAAACCCCAAACAATTAGGCTTTGTTCAAATCAATCACATAAAATTTATGTCCCAGAGTACACTGGACTCATTTAAAATTTACATAGGTGATGCTGTCATCTGACATGTCCCACTGAAAGCCTTCATCTACATTCTAATCCACAACAGCACTACTCTTAATTCCTGTATTTTCAGCAGTTCTTTGATATGCATAAATATGGAGTAGATTAGCTCCTTAAGAGAAAAATTCTCATCCTCCTCTGACAAATATAGTGAATTTCCTTTACTTATCCAAGTCTAGATGTGATTCTTTAGGGCCATGAAGGTAAACTGAACTCTGAATTACTTTTGTATTATGTTATTAAGTTGTTCAGTGTATTCCTTAAAGTGTGCTATTAGTCAGAAAAATCATGACTGAAATGACACCCTTGCTAAGCCCAAGGGAGATTGATGAGTAAATCAGAGACAGGAATGTGTTTTCTGATTCCCAGATTCTGCAGACATGGACTTAACTATATCAAATTAGCAATTTACTGTGAATAACACTCACAAAGTCACTTAGGTGAATAAAGGATTTATAAGAATACAGTAATAGCCATTTCCCAAACCATTTTCCATTCCCTATCAGGGCTGGATGTTACCATTTGTTTATCTATAATTTAAGTATGATTTTAATAATGAAGGAAATAAATACATTCATTCAGGGGGAAAGCTCCCATTCATATTGATAAGGTTTGAGGTTGTCTTCTTGTTCACTGTATTTTGTCCAGGTCCTTCCCAAGAGGCTTTAAAATGCTCATGTGTAGAAAACAGATATGTACAACACACTTGCAGAGTCAGAGCACATCTGAGGGAAGAAGTTCCAAACACCCTACACAAAGCAGGTTGGACTGCAGCTGGTTACTTGGGCTTTGAGGATCTTTAAGGACAGAGGCTCCACAACCTCTAAGCAACTTATTCCACTGTTTGATTACAATTTAGAAACAAAACAAACTATTCTTACATTTAAGTGCAATCTCCTCTATTTCATTTTTCAGCCATTTCCCCTTTTCTTGTTTTCGTGTCCTTTAAAGCACTGGAAAGAGTCTGCCTCTAAATTTTCTTCTCCCACCAAATGTTTATAAAAAACTTGATAAGTTACCCTTGAGCCTTCTTTTCCCCAGGCTAAACAGTTCCAGCTCTCAGCCTCTCCTTGGATGACAGGTGGTCCAAGCCCTGATTCATACCCATGGTCCTTCACTAGACTTGTTCCAATATGGTTTTTTGTCTCTTAGGCCATGAAACCCAGGACTGTGGTATAGCACTCCAGATGTGTCCTCAGCAGGGGAGAAGGATGACCAGACCAAACCACTGTTTCAAAATCCAGTTTCTGAAATCAAGATCCACTGTTCTCATGCACTTCACACCAAAATAATTTTTTGTCCATCAAGTTAGAGGGAGAATTTCCTCCCACTAACTCTCCCAGAAAAAGCCTTGCTAATGCCCCAGTCCTCTCCTGTAACAAACCTTTTCCTACCTCTCCTCAGCAAGATTCCTTTACATTTCCCTCCTGCCTCTTGTAGAGGGATGCCCATGTGGAAGCCCATGTGCTATATACCACCTTCTCCCCTTCACATACCCCTAAGTCTCTCTCAGAAACTCTCTAAATCTTTCCCACATAGAATAATCAAATAAACAAATAAAGCTCACATTCCCAGAACTTTAGGAACTTCTCACTTCAAAGTCTCCCAATATTCCTCCCACCCATCTTTGCTCTGCCCTTCTTTATGTCCTTTCCACAGCTGCCCTTTCCCCTTGCATTCTGTACAAGTTATCTCCTTCTCCTGCCCAGGAGAAGGCCCTCTGGCGGCTCCATACTCAGCCTCACCAAGGATTTCCTGTCACATACTTTTAAGTTAAGGTTCTGAATTTCTGCAACACTCCTGGCCTGTGCTTCTCTGTTTGGAGCATTAAAGTCTACTTGAGGTTGATAAAGCAAATGTTTAGAAGACACCTGAGTCCTTCACCATCACTAGAATTTCCCACCTTTTTCTGTAAAGCAAATTTGTTGGACACTAATCACTCCCTGAAAATTTGCAGTAGAGAAGCTAATATAGACATTAGCCTAGAGACATGATGAGCTGCACAATTTCCTCACAGAATGTCAGTTTTACTGGCAAAAAAACACAGGGACTGGCTTGTAGAGCTTAAGCTATACTGATACAGAGTGCAGTTGTTGTCAGGATCTCAAAGTCCAGTATAAAACTTTTGCAGTGGAAAACAACAACATTCCTGTATCACTACAAATTCTTATGTGCAATAAGCTGCACATAGCCCAACTCTGCTTTACCCCTCAACTTTAGTAATGAAAAAATGCTAATTATCTTTGCAAACCTCTCAGGGCAATATTTGGTGCAAAGCAACTGGCCTTCCGAGCACATTCTTGTGCAGCATGTGGCCATTCTTTTTTCAGTTAATTCTACTTGAGTTTAATGTCATGAAAACACCATTTAAAAATCTTTAGTATATCTTCTTGCTTCTCTTTTATCACTTGAGGACTAGAGGTTACTTCAGAAACAAGCTTTACCACCATTATTCTGTCCATCACAGCTTACATTCAAAAGTCAAAACTGAAGGCATAAACTAGGTTGCTGCTTTGAACAACTGAGCAATAAGCAAGTTTTGCACAGTAGGAAACCATTTGTAAAAAATCATTGAAATTTTTTCAACATTAAAAATAAAACACAAACAAACACAACAGCCAAAAATGAAAGGAGTGTACTATGTGTTTGCAGTATGATTTACTGTATGGTCGGCATCCCCTGTGAGCCTCCACCACAGACTCATCCTTCTTATCCTTCTACCTTGTAGGATCCAGCATCTGTCAACTTTAACCTTTTTTTTTTTTAATTAAAAAAATACTAATCTCCTTCAGTATAGTACAAGTTCTTTCCATAATAATTATCATTACCTTTTACAGAAGCAGAATGAAGTATCTCATCCCTTATTTTATTCTTGAATGGCTCTTTTTCCTTCTGGACCATAGCTACCATAGTTCAGAGAGGCTCCCTGTAGGGAATCTTCACAGCTGAATAGAAAAACAGAAAAAATTGCTTGAAAGAGACTGTTGGAGTACACACTGCCGTAAAAAACCTATTGCCAAAAAATTTTGACAAGTATATAAAAGCAAATATCATATTCAGATACGAATATCAGACTATACTCAGAGTGGTGAGTATGTAGCTCTTTGAACTGTTTGAACTCTTCTTTAGTATTATAATTTATCCTTCACTTAGAGTCACTGTAGATTTTCTTATTCTTTTTATATAAAAGAACATCCTAAATTATTTGGACTGTTTATGCCTGTGCTCACTCGGAAAAAGAAGGAGAATAAAACTGACAGCCCTGCAATTTCATTTTATTTGTATGAGAGCAGCAAGAGGAGAGCAGTTCCACAAGGCATAATAAGCCAGGAACCAAAGGTGACCACAACACTGGAAGTGCCCTCACTCATCAGGGCATGTTCCCAGAGGGTTTGAACACAGCAGGCAGGCATGGTGATAATAGCAGAGTCTATTTATAGTCTCAGACAAAGCAAGGTAATGAACCAGTTCCAAAGTATGACCTGGGAACACATACAGCAGATCAAGCCAAACAGGGCTAGAATTAGTGCTGCAAAATGGGCCCAATAGCCATCCAAAAGAAAGCATTAGGGACAAAGGCACCTAAAATATTGACCCAGAAATGCTCTAAGAAGCAGGACCAGAAACAAGACTAGAACCAGGTATACCTGTTACATATCTCAGAGTAGGAGTGCCAAGCCCCAGCTTAAATGGAGCTCCTGAGATTACAGGCACACAGCATAGGTGGAAGCCCCAGGTGAGGCTGGTCAGGGAGACTATGGACTGGTAGTGCCCTCATGTCCCAGCCATGGCTCAATGCCAGATTATCACTGGTGTTAATATGCAGCATCTTCCCCAACAACTTAAATCATGCAAGATACAGCCTCAGAAAATATTTCAAAGCAGTTTGGGTATGTGCTAGTCCCTTGAAGCAGCACTATTACCCCAGTCTGAAGTTGTGAGCATCTGCTTGCAAAGACCAATGTCTGAAGCACACCACATTACTCATCCTGGGAGCTGAGCTCCCTGCACTGAACTCCATCATCCTGAGAAGACAGAGCTGTTTGAGAAGCCTTGGTCAGCCTTGGAGCTCAGCTGCAAGGAGTTTGTGTAGAAGCTCTGCTGAGCTTTGTCTCAAGGCTCCCTGCCCTTACCTATGCTGCAGTTGTGCTTGCTCCCTGCCACGCTGAAACACCCATCTTTTTCTCCTTTCTGGAAAAGCATAAGCTCCTGCTGCTCCAGGGACACATTTCTGCTCATGGGAAGAAATCTCAGTCTACCATGAATATGTCCTGGGAGCAACTCAAGGCCAACTCAATTCTTGGTTGTTGTACTGCTTCCCCAGTAAGTGCCATAGACAGTGTGCCATTGAATCTGAAGAGTTTTTCACTGGAAAATATACAACTCTCACAGATTATGCTAAATTGCAGAGCATGGCCATGCTTCCCATCTTCAGGATTTAAGTAAGCCTTGATCTTATGTGGGGTGAGACCCAAGTGGACACCATATCCCCTTCCCTTTCTGTATTCATGGTTTAAAGAGGCAGAAAGCAGAAGGAAGCTGTATGGTGCACTACACCATGTCTCTTACCTGTGTGTCAAACAGAACAGCACCTCACAAAATATAAATGCTCCACAGCTGATATAGGACCACTGAGACAAGTCACAGTGAACATTCCAAGCTAACATAGTAAAATACTCAAATAAATGTTTAGAGAAAATACTCCAGGATAAAATATAGACCAGAATCACAGAATCACTTGGGCTGGCATTTAGTCCAGCTTCCCTGCAATGAACAGGGACATCTCCAACTAGATCAGGTTGCTCAGTTTCATCCAATTCGATCTCTAATATTCCTGTAAATGGAGCATCTACTATGTCACTGGGCAAACTGTTGCATTTTCGCCACACACATCATAAATGAATTCTTATGTCTACTCTAAATCTACCCTCTGATACTTTCAAACCACTACCCCTTGCATTGCTACAGGCCCAACTAAGAAGTTTGTCTGCATATAAGTACTGAAATGCGCCAGTAATGGCTCCCCAGAGCCTTCCCTTCTTCAGGCTGAACAATCCCAATACTCTCATAGGAGAGGGAGAAAAAAAATTCTGATCACTTTTGTTGTGCTCCTCTAGATCTGCTCCAACTACTCCAGGTCTTTTCTGTACTGAGAACCCAAGAGTTGGACACAGCACTGCAGCTGAGGTCTCACCAGAGCAGAGCAGAGCAGAGCAGAGCAGAGCAGAGCAGCAGATCCCCTCCCTTGCCCTGCTGGCCACACTGCTCTGCGTGCAGCCCAGGACACGTTCGGCTTTCTGGCTGCAAGTTCACACTGCCAGCTCATGTCCAGCCTCTCATCCACCAGCACCCCTAAGTCTTGTCCCCAGGGCTGCTTTCAACCTCTTCTTCCCCCAGCCCGTGCTTGATGCCAGGGGTTGCCTGGACTGTGGTGCAGCACCTTGCACTTGGTCTTGTTGAACCTCAGAAGGCTCACACAAGCCAAATCCTCAAACTTGTCCAAGTTCCTCTGAACGGTGTCCCACTCCCCACATGTGTCAACCATTGGCAAGCTTGCCAAGGATTCAATTGATCCCACTTTGTCATTGATGTAGATAATAAACTGTACTGGTCCAAATATGGACCCCTGGGTGACACGACTGATCTCTGGTCTCCATCCAGGCACTGGGACACTGATCACTGCACTCTGGGTGCACCCATCCAGCCAATTCCTTACCCACTGAACAGTCCACCCATCAAATCTATCTCTCCAATTTAGCAAGAAGGATGTTGTGTGAGGCTGTGTCCAAGGCCTTATTTATATGACTCCAGATAGATGACACCCTTGACTCTTCCTTATCTACTGATGTAGTCACTCAATACCTGCTGGCTGAGATAGAAAGTTGTGTGGGGAGCTTTTCCACGCTGCATTGGGTAGTACTAACTGGGAAAGGGAATTCAGCTCCCTTGCTCCTGTGGAGCATCTGCCTGAGAAAGTTAAACATGAGGCCAGTGGCTGCACCATACTAGAACAAATAAAGTCAAACAATTTCTACTCTAAACGGCAGTCTGATATCACATAAAAGGACACTGAGCATTGCTCATGTGTTTTGTAATGATTCTCTTAGAAAATTAATGTGTTTGTGACTTTCTATACTTGTTTTATTTGAAACACCAATGACTTTGCTATCAAGTATCAGCCTTTGTAAAACTTCATCAATTTATTCTTTGGATTAAGTACAGCCATATTAATTAGGTTGCATAACAAATGCTTGTGGAATCCGAATACTCTGAAGGACTTGAAAAGAATAGCAATTTGGTTTGGAGAGGCTATTAAAATCAAGTCACTTGGGAGTGAACTGGAGATTTTAAAGTCTCCACCATGACTTCTGGAACATATTAGTGCTTTCATACAAAATGGCCCACTTTACCTTCCCCTCATTCCTTCACTTTTTATCAAAATGTGCTCACTTTCAAGCAACTGAAGCCATTATCTCACACCAGCATCACAAGTGGAAATTCTCTGATCATGTTATAGCCTCAGATTTAGTGCCTCATTCTTGCATGTAGTTGTGCAATTAAATTAGGCAGAACCCTTGAACAAACTGCTTCACCTGCCTTATGCTCATTCTCCCTCCATTCAGCAGCAGCAGTAATTTCCTGCTGGTAGCTTTCAGACATGGAAAAACTTGCTAGTACAGAGGAATAAGGTACTTCCAAAAAGGAGCCTCTGTCTTCAGCATTTGGCAACAGGCGACAGCCAGCTAGACTACATCACGGCACAGAAAGATATTATCCCAGCTAAAGCACTTCATTCTACCTTGATACAGTGTAAAGACCATGGACATGTCATTGAGGGAGTAGCTTTCACTGAGGGGAAGATAAGCCAGGTGCAGAACTGTTCTGCAGACTCATTTGAGCTTGATTTTTATCTCTTCCTATTGAAAATGTTGTTTGGCTCAGCCTTTACTCGGCAGTCAAGAATTTGCACCAAATTAGACACAGAGGCATTTAGATGTTTTTTGTCTCTGCTGCTCAGACTTCCCACTGAATGGATTCCCTTGCTCTGCAATTTGAGTGGCAAATGGAGATATTTGGCTTTACAAGCCATCAGTCTAGGTTGAGCTAATGGGAATAGGAGAAAGGCAGTGGCTACCCTCTCATTCCATTCCAAGACTTGTAAGGGAAGAAGCAGACTTTTCAGGTTTCATTAATCACATACATCTACAAAGCTTATTTTTCGGCAGAAAAAGGCTGTGATTCAGATATACAACATTAGCAACTTGTTTGCCTGGAGCAGCAAATCTTCCCTTACCAACCAATACCAGAATATTTCTGTTCCAAACAGTATTTTGGCATACTGCCTTTGTTGCAAGCAAATATAGCTTATTGGGAACAGAGACCCCTTTTAAAATATAGTTTTCATCTCATGTCATCGTATCTAAGAAATTAGATGGTTGTCTCAGCCTAAAGTAGACATTACTATTAGCAGTTAATGTGTCAACAAACATTGCACCACCACTGCCCATTGCCCTGTATGAGAATGTCAAAGAAAGTGAAAGGAATGTCATTCATTCATTGAGGGTCTGAGATGGAGGATTTAAAAAATGCATCAGAATAAGTTGAGATTTTAGCCCAGATAATTAGTTCCAGTAGGTACACAAAGGTAGACTTCTGGCTGAAACAGATATAGGAAGAAGCCCTTTCATAGCCACATTGTTCTGCTTTTTGCTCAAGAAAACAGCTGGAAGTTAGGAGGGAGTTGTCAGATTTTACACAAGCTCAAATTGGGTGCCAGAACACATGAGTTTTTGTTCATCTTCCCTGTGTATTCAAATACAAAGTGCAAACTAGAGAGTGAGAAGGAATTCATATTCTCTTGACATCTGGTTACATTTCTTTGCAAATACTTAGTAAAGGAAAACCCTAATTAGGGTCTGCCCAAAAGACCACAAGGGACAATTTCAGGTAAAGGTGATTGGTTAACCTTGGTTGAATGACAGGTGTCCACCAAGCCACTCTCTCACACCCCTTCCATAGCATGACCAGGAGAAAACAAGATGAAAATTTTTATGAGTTAGGAACAGGGAGGTCACTCAACAATTTACCATCACAGTCAAAACAGACTTGTCTTGGGCAGATTAATTTACTACATTGACGATTAAAAATAGAGTAGAAATGTGAACATAATATCACCTCACACTCCCCACTCCAAAGCAAAAAAAAAAAAAGGAACAAAATACAACCTATTTTCCTTCCACTCCCAGGCTCAACTTCACTCCTAACTCTTCAACCACTAGCCCTGTCCTGAGAGACACCAGGGGATGGAGAATGGGGGTTCCAGTCAGTTGATAACACTTCATTTCTGTGGCCCTTTCCTCCTCACACTGTTCCCTACTCCAGTATGGGCTCCCTCCCACAGGATACAGTCCTTCTCTCGGTGCTCCAGTGTGGGTCTTTCTCATGACCTGCAGTTCTTCAGAAACTGCTTCATCATGGGTCCTTTCCACGGGGTACAGTACTTGAGGAACAGAGTGTTCCAGTGTGGGCCCCCTATGGGTCACAGATCCTGTGTGTGTTCCACTACATGGGTTTCACCTCCTGCCAGGAGAGTGTGGGCTCTGCATGGGCTGCAGCTTTCTTCAGAACACATCCATTTATTCTGTGGGCTGTAGGGACACAACCTGCTTTGCTATGGTCTTGCCACAGGCAGTAGAGAAACTTCTGCTCTGGTGGCTGGAGCACCTCCTCCCTCTCCTCACCTGACCCTGGTGCTGCAGGACTGTTCTTCTTCCATTTAACTCACACCTCTCTCACAGCTGCTGCACTATGTTTTTTACCCTTTCTTGAACAGGTATCACACCAGTGCCACCAGTAATGGGCTCACCTTTGGGCATCAGTGGGTCTATTTAAGAGCTGGCTGGAACTGTCTCTGTCCAATACAGGGACAACTCCTGGTCCTTTCTCACAGAATTCAACCCTGTAAACACCCTGATACTGAAATCTTCCCTCATAAAACTAATGTGGTCAGACAGTGCAGATAGGAAGATACAGCTAGAATAAGATGCGAAATATATAGATATGGCTCATCTCCAGCAGAGAAACACATGCAAATTAAGTAGAGTTTTTCTTTAAATCAGTGGCAGAGTCAAAGAGAAAAGGATGTTCTCATACACCCATGCAGATCGATACCACTTGCAGCAGCAAGAAATATTCACATGAATTGATAGTGCCAAAGAAGAAAAAGTATTTATAAGTTTACAGGTAGGGAAATGATTTTGTATGATGGAGACAGCTAGAAAGAAAACCACTTTAGCACATTGGTAGGGCACTGCAAATCAAAGGTTCCAAGCAGAGACTGTCTAGGCAATCTAATCACTGTCTAAGCAAACCATTAAGAAAGCTTTTGATTGCTTGTGAGAATGCCTCAGTAAAACAAATATGAATTATTCAGTCACGTCCTTATATTTTAATGCTGTGAAAGTAAATGCAAAAAAAAAAAAGAAGCCATAAAATGCTTGTTACTTAGCTTCAAGTAATTTTCAATACACTAGCAATGTAAATTGTTTCTGTTAAAAAAAAATAAAAAAAAAAACCAAAAAAAACCACCAGCTAACAAACAAAAGAGAATGAAGTAAAAACCCCAATAGTATAGAACAGGAAAACAAAGTGATGCAGCTACTGCAATCAGCCTGTAGCATCAAATTTACCCAGAGATCTACAATACATTCATGGCTGGTCAGACCACCACATTTCTAACTGCCTTCAACTCTTGTCTAGTACATCTGTTTACTGCAAATCTTCAAAGTGTTATTTCCATAAATGTGTTGACTTAGAAAGTAATAAAATCAAGAATTATGTACAGGCCTCATCAGAACTGCATTTTCTGGGAAGGACACAATTAATGGATATTTTTTCATAGCAACATACATACTTGATAGAAACAAAATAAATTCAAATATCAGGAGTAATAGGTCCCACAATCTTCTATGTGCCTAAAAAGGCTTAGCATAATTTCCACTGAGAACAGTGGAAAGATTCAAGGGAAATTATTGGCAGTAGCAACTATATTCTGTATGAATTCTCATTCCTTTACATTTAAATACAGCAGGAACAAACACTTTGTCAGGATTTGAGTAGGAGAGTTAAAAATGCAGGAGTTTGGGGAATTTTGTCCCAAAGGGAGTGAGTTTAAAATGCTTGTATGCTTTTGACAACCATTTCCTAGCCAAATATGTATATTTTTTCCAGTGGGCTATTACTTAGTTAATAAAATTAATAAATATAAAATGGTCCAAAGACAAATAATCCCCAAACTCTCAAAGGTACTCTGTGGCATTTGTGACGCTCTAACTACAGCTCAGCACCTCTTGATGTAGATCTGGAGTGTGTTTTCACCTGCTAAGTCACTCCCTCATTGTCTTTGGCTACATCAGCAGAACAGGTCACAGTGTCCACACCTACATGAGTGAGACCAGAGGTGTCCTGGCCAGCTCCTTCCCTTCACACTACTTTGGCAGGAAGAGCTGTCCCACACATGCATTTCATCCCACACATATTCTCAGGTCATGCCAGTACAAGCACCTTTGCATCTCTGTTAGTGTGACAGATTTTCTGTCTTCCTATGCTGTTGTTACATTTCCCAGTTAACACAACCAGGACAGGAAAACAGCAGAAGCCTGCACATTGCTAATCGCCACACTGGAGCTGACTGCATTTCCAGGACAGCTGGCAATCCTTTCAAACAAGCATGCATATCAGAAAACAATCCTATTAGGCACTTGAAGATTCTTCAAGAAGAACAACAACATAGTATATGGAAGATTTAGTGTAACCATGCAACAGTTTTGGTCTAACAATATTAGCAAGAAATCTTAGAGCTAGACAGTTAATGAAGTAGTCTCTTCCTTCAATAAAAGCTCAGATATGATGAGCTACCCGATATTCATTTAGTACTCTTAAAATTTACATAAAGAATAGCTTGGGAAGTGGGAAGCTTTAGGTTTTTTTTTGTTGCTGTACCACTCAAAGTTCAAATGAGCAATAAAGATGGTAAGAGTGAAGCGTCTTATCAAAATATGGATTCCTAAAATCTTTGTACTAAAAGTGAGATATACAGAGAAGAACTCTTTGTTTAAGGGAGAGGAAGTATCAGTCAGAATGCCTTGCCTATATCTCTCAGGACTAAAAGACATCACTTTGTAGCTCGTAACATTTTTTCACCATGGAAGCAGTGTTTGAAATGGTACAAGGAAGACATTCTCTGAAGACTTTCCTTATCTATAGATCCTCTGGGTTTGACCTATCAAAGGTGTTGAGTTGATTGTTCTTTGGCCAAGCGACTAGTGAAAAATGGAAAAAGAAGGAGAAAACCACAAAAACAGACTGAAAACCAGGCTACAGAAACAGACTGGATCAGCACTGAAAGATGAGCTTGTGCACAACACAAGCTGCATGAGAGGTTTGGAATCATAAGCAAATACATAATCTCTTTGTTTTCCCCTTTCTTCAAAGAATCAAAACCTCACACACTCTTCAAAAATGGGGAGAAGGGTACACAGCCTGAGTGCAAATAGTATGGAATTGGTGCACTCAAAAAACATAACTCTCATTTTCTCAGTGCCTTGCTGGTGCCTCGTAAAACATATTGCCTTGTGCAGAAGCTTCTAACCTATATTTGTCTGCAACGCTTGAAGAAAAGATTCTGCAGATAAGGCAAGAAAGAGGAAGGCAAAAATACTTTTCAGTGTGGGTGAGCTTTAAACATACAGTAAACTAGCAAAAGATAAGCACTATACCAATGCTCATGCTCACACATTCCAGCTGCACAGGGAAAGGAAACATAAACAAGAGAGAAAACTAGCAAAATATTACCCAAAACCTTACAGGGAAGAAGCCATGTGCAAAACATATGCATTTTACCAGGAATCATTGCCAAAATGCATTTGTACTTAATCTAGTGGGTGAAGGATGCCAAGTAACCCTACTGCCTTCTGTCAGCAGAACATAGAAAATGTTGAGAGGGCACTGGGGGACACAAAGGAAGAAAAATGCCACAAGCTCCTTCTGCTTCATCTAGAATACTGTTGAAAGCTATAAAATGTGTAGTACAACTACTGCAAAACATAAATCTAGGGATGTGGCTATTTATATAGTTCTTAGAGCCGTGCTAGTAGGCAAAAGAATGTCAAGAAAGAACACATTTTTCTTTTTCCCTTTTCCTTCTATTTTTCTGTTTATTTCACAACATTGCTCTGTTTCCTTTATCTGTTCTGCAAGACACAGTTTTCTTCCTAGAACTACTTTATTTTTATATTTCCTTCTTTTTATTCTTTCTTGTGCTCCTCCTGCTTTTGTATTTGTCTAGTTTTTCCGTGGTTTCTTTTCATTGTCTTTCTCTTCCTGGATTTCTGCCCTCCCCTCTCCCTGCAGTGGAGGCAGCAGCTGGGAAGCTGTGCCAGCATTAGCCTCCACAGTGAGCACCCATTAGGAATGTAATTGACTTGCTTCACACCTTTGCAATCAATTCCCCACGCAGCAGAAACCAAGTACTAAGTCCCCGGGTAGAGCTACACAGACTCACGTACCTGTTAAGGAAAAGAGATGCCTCAGCACCAAATTTCCAGTAAAACCCCTTGAACTGAATGATGTTTTGTGAAAGCAGGAAAAGCCTCTGGGCAGGATCAGGATCAGGAAAGCTCCAGGAAGCACAGGCTGCAGTGGGAGTCAAAAGAGTTGTAAGGCAAGGCAGAGTGCAGGATGCTTTCAATGTCTGTGAATGAAGAACAAATGCAGAGGGAAGAAACCTATACATAAAATCTCTCAGTCATTATGATGATCTCCTTTAATGTGGTTGGACTATGGAGAATTTGATATGCTGTGGTTTTATTGGCAAATCAAACATGCACTGGCCATAGGCTCAACACAGACCCATAATCATGGATACAGCCCAGCTCGTTAGTACACTGCCAGGCAAAGTTTTGGCTTTGGCTGCATACCAGCCACTCTGACCTCTCAGGAGGTCCTGATTGCTCCAGGACACAGCACAGACAAAGGCACTGTGTTCAGCAGGGGAAAGAGAATTCAGCTGGTATGGGCATGACCTATGGCATATCACTTGCCTAAAGAGCCAAAGAACTGCCATGGATCTTTTTTATTTACTAGTACAAATCCCAGAATTACAGAATAGTTGAGGTTGGAAGGGATCTGTGGAGGTCATTTGATCCAATCTCCCTGCTCAAGCAAGGCTACGTAGGGCCAGCTGCCCAGGTCCATGTCCAGAGGACTTTTGATTATGTTAAAGACTGAACATTGCACAAGATCTCCAGGCAACCTGTCACCTCAGGAGCAAAAAGTGTGTTTCAGTTTGTGCCTACTGGCACTGGTCCTGCCACTGGACACCACTGAAAAGAATCTGTCTCCATTCTCTGTGTGCCCTCCTTTCAGTACTCATAGGTTATTAAAATCCCCTCAAGCCATGTCTTCAGCCTGAACAATCCCAGGTCTCTCAGACTTTCTTCTTAGGAGAGATGCTATGGTCCCCTAATCCTCTTAACTGTCCTTCAGTGGACTATCTCCAGTACATCTGGAGATATCCAGAATCCATCTGGAAGGCCACCATGTACTGGTACATGGATACGTAGCATGAAAATTTCATCATTCTTTAGTCCAACCAGTAGGCACCAGGGGCAGGATTGCACCAAGCTGGCCTTGTGCCCTCCCCAGTCCTCCCAGACTACCATGCTATTCAACATCCTCAGCCTTTGTGCTGCCTTGCAGGCACATAAAACAAATCCTCAGTTGCATGCTTAGAAACACCGCTGTGAGGGTTCCAGCCCACATCTCCAATATCCACACACCCTGCAGAAAACAAGGAAAAGCAAGGGCAGAGAAGCATCCCAGAGAGGATTCAGTCTTTACTCCATTTAAGCTCAAAATGCAACTGATTACTTGAGGAATTATTATTTTCCCCAAGTAGAAATCAAGCATCAGAAAGCAAATTTGAAATTTTTTAGAGCCCACTAACAAGTTGTGGGGTTTTTTTGTTTGGTTTTTTTTTGTTTTGTTGTTTTTTTGGGGTTTTTTTGGGGTTTTTTGGGGTTTTTTTGTGTTTTTTTTTGTTTTGTTTTGTTTTGTTTTTTACTTCTTTGCTGGGAATAGAGCCAAGATCTAGTGATTAAAGTTAAATTTTAAAAAGCACTCAACTGTTTGCTACTTTAAAAGCTGATTTAAGGCATTTAGTGCTGGAAGCTGTTAACTAATGGAAAACTCTGTCACTATGGAGTTTTCTATCAAGGCAGACACCTCTTTAACTGTTCTTTGATGCTTTTACCATATAAGACTTTATAAACTTTTAGAGTTTACTATCTCTTCCTATTTATTCCTCACTGAGAATATTCATGAAGAATTTTTTTTCCGTTTGAGGCCCTATACAAAAATAAAAGGGAGGACAGGATGATGGTGGGGGAGCTCACCTGGGACAATTTCACTTGTAGAGGATCAGCAACAGCCCCAGAGAAGGAACCTTCCAAATCCTTGTCCTTAACTCAGACATAAGACCCAAAAGAAAGAATCCATTTCAATGGGAGATAAACAAGCCTTGCAATACTACAGGCCACTAATAAAAGTCTTCAATTAGCAAAGATCTTCCAGGACAAGGCCCAGTAAATTCATGAGAGGGGTAGTCCAGGAGCATCATCATAAAACCCTGGTGTCCTTGGAAGTAATTTTGCAGCCAGCTGGGCCAGCAGAGATGTGTAACAAGGACGTCAGGCAATACGATGGCATTGTCTCCTGGAGCCACCCCAAAGAACAACATTCCTAACAGGGTATTTGAGATGTTAGGACTGGGTTTTCCAGTAGTCCTCATACCAACATGGTGCTGCTGCTACTCAGAAGATACAGCTGCACTTCAGCTGCAACACTGTACTGGTGTGATAAGACTGGAAAATACAAGTGTTTTTCCTCTAGGATATTCCAGAATACCAAAGAGAAAGAAAAAAAGAATTGTATCAGTATGGCTGTTAGAATTCCCTGGGCAGCAGGGCAACAGAAGCAGCTAGGTCAAGACATCAGCTCTGAAAAAGTCATGTCTATAAATTATAATGTGTAGAATACTAAAAGGCAAAATCCTAAGGGAAATAAAAAGGTTGTTGAAGCTAAACATTATGAAGTGTTTGACTCAGAAAAAAGTAAGTTTAGAGTGATAAAAGGTAGATGATATCATACAGTATGCAGAACAAGAACTGAGATCTGGCCTTGTGTTCTGGCATTGCAACTGCAGTCATGGAGACAAAGCTAGTGAAAATCGTAAGGGAGCACTTAATCAAGAGTATGCACCCCACTGTGGCTTCCAGTCTTTCTCCTCTAAGATGGGCAGAATGTAAAACTCAGACCAGTGCTACAACTAAGAAGTACTGAAAACTAGCCTTTTCTTCATGCAATTAGCCTTTTCTTCATGCAATGGATCAGGCTGTAGACACCAAAATCAGCATCTGTTTTGCTTGCACGCCTTTAGAGTATAGAATTAAGTATATCAAACATACAGTTTAGCACATGAAGAAGACATGATTAATGACAATTTTACATTCTCTACACATGCTACATTTCAAAACACTTGTCTTTTTCTTGAGTGCATTATGGTACACAGTAACTAAAGCATACTTACCACATGATGGAATTAATTATACACTCAATGATTTCAAGAGCAGAACTTCTCCAGTGTTCCAGAAATGGTTATAGCAGGATTAGTACTGCGATACTTGCACTCTTAGTCAGTAAACTGAGATAATCTTGTAGATTCCTGTAAAGGAATGTCATGATACAGAACTAAAGTCATCAAAAGATTTGTGCTTTGGCTTACAATTAGTGGAAGTTCAGCATATGCAGATACGTGTAAGGTTGATCCCCACTTCTGCAGGAAAACATTTGGCTTTCAAAATTATTTACACACTGTCCCACTGTGGTCTGCAATCTACAGCACAGTAGAGTATTAATGAGGCAAAATAACAATATACACCAAACAACCTGTGAGGATAGGCCTCACTTTTAGGTGCACAGTCATCCCTTTCAGTGGCACCAAATCTGTCTTTTTTTTTCATTTCCCCAGTCACTTCTCTAAGGTGAAAAAATAAAATGAACAGCAATGAGAACAGATATTGCCCCAGTGGGAGTTTTATCAGGAACTCTCTGGTTTTAGCTTGTTTCATCTCAAGGGACTAAAAGGGTCCATCTTTCTTGCCAAAACCTGATTTTTAATGGAGATCTTTAGACTAACATGGTTACCACCATCTCAAGGGCAGAGAAGTGGTGGGGAAAAGAGAGAGGCTCAAGCATTTCAGTTATAGCTAAGGGCAGAGTTTAGGCTGACAAGGTGGGTTTTTTTCATCAGCTTCATGATCTTAAGAAATTTGTTTTTACTGATGGTAGATTTGTTTTCACTTTCTGATTTATTTTAAATCTTTTAAAAACAATTTTCTTCTTTCTGCTCACTGATTGTTTTTTGTTTAATCTCATGGAACCTATCTAACCTATCTCATTCAGCATGTGAACTTCCCATATTATTCAGGTCTCTGTTCAATTCCTGAATCCCTGAAGTAACATAGATTTTCTTCATAGCCTTGTTATGAGGTCCCTAGGACATTTATTTTCTCTCTTGCATGTGTTTTACCAGAACTTAACAAAAAAACACTCTAATCACAGCAAGGGATCTCTAAATTACCAACCTAATACCATCACCATTTTATTGGACAAATAAACTAAACCTTCAGCATTCAAACAAAACCAGAATTCATTCCACCCATCAAAAAGGTCTAGCTATGAGCCCCTTATCTATCTGATTCCCAAATTCTCCACCTTCATAACCTCCTTTTATTTCAAAGGAAGTTCTGTGTGGGCATGTATGTGTTTTTGTTCTTGCTTACATATTGGGTCCACAGTCAACCCTAAAAGATGTATTATTAAGTAAGAAAGGGAGACCTCTTCTGTATGACATTGATTTTTCTGATAAATTATAAAGTCTTTAAAACCCCCAAAAACAGAGATGCTTTTCTTTATTATTTGACTAGATAGGAACCAAATTCTAACTTCTCCAGGAAAGAAAGATTAAAAGTGTGTGGCAACAGATTTAAAACAGTTAGAAGCCTGTGAAAAGGGCAGGACTGCATTTTGTCTAATCCTGACTTTCATCTTGATTGTGAATGAATTGAAAAGCAAATGAGAAATTAAACCAAAAGGTAAAGCCTGGTACTTCAGATCAGGATTGATAAGTTAAGCAGCTTCTTTCAATAAGAGAGTGAGAAAGTAAGTTCCATTTACCTCTCATTACAGCTAAGTGGGTATACATTCCCATTTCTGCACTACATTAGTGCAGTGACAAGTGCCCAGGAGCTGCAGCCCTTAGAGAACACCAGATGCCCCCCTCTTGTTGTCCTTCACTTATCTGGTACTCAAACAGCATCTTCTCACCTACTAATGAAATGCAACATCGTTACAGAATATCTGAGAGAGAGAGGGCAGGATTTATGTCTGGAGCGAGAATTGAGCTGCCCCCTCAGACTAGGCCTCAGATCGGGGCCTTGTGAGGCCTTCCAGCCTCTGACGCAGTTAGGATTTGTATTAAGGTGTGACGGGGAGCACTGGGCTGTCTGGGTGTGAAGGAGTATAGGTTTATAGTGTAAGGTTTAGGCCACCTTAAGACAAAGACAAACAATGTTCACTTGCCAATGAGAGTGCCTTTGTAAACTGTAAACTATGTAGAAGTGTATAAAAACTGCCATCTTCTCTCGAATAAACGGAGACTGTTGCATTAATCATATTGGTTGGATGTGCGTTCTGTCCTGTCCAGCTTTCCCGTTTTCTGAGGTCCCTGGTCGCACAACATAAAATTTTTCAAGTTACCTTTAGTTTTACCTTTAGTGGCAAAAAAAAGGAGGGAAGAAAATTACTGAGTTGAGACACAAACTAGAAAGATGTCCTTGAAAATTCCTTTCACAGCTATATGTATTAAACCAGGCTAGGGGAAGATCTGTATTTGTATCAACACAGGAAAGATACAAATTTTGCTTTATTTTTCAGTGGTAGACAAAAAGAGTTCAGCATACAAAGATCTAATCAATCCTTTTGCAATTAATTTTGATATTTGGGTAGGAGACTGGAGTCTAACAAGGGGGTTTTGGTGATTTGTGCAAATTTTCCCGTGCTTTGGAGCAAAAATACACTGTTTCAAACCAGATTTACATGAGCTCTGATTTTGATACAATTAGAGCTTACAAAAAAATAATGATTACACTGTCGAGATAATTACTTCCCACTTTCCAAGTTAGTTGCTTTCCACTGAAAAATGTTGTTCAGTCAAAAATTACCATTATGGAAAGACTGGTTTTAATTAAAATGCTTGAGATCCAGGGTGGAATCTGGAGAAGGACAAAATAACTCTGCATCTAGGTCATTTGGTGAGAATGGATAGAAAGTCCCAAACCTATTGTACTGGATTTGAAACACAAGCCAAAACCCGAGGTTTCTCAAATCTCATGTAAATGACCAAATCATGGTATTGTTCACTATTCTTATAATTTAGAATACTCATTCTCCTAGAATACTCATTCTCCTAAAATAATCACCTTGTCTCCTTTTATATGTCTTGCCTTCATTTCATGCTAGACCTTTTTTTTTTTTTCACATTTTCTATTAAATAAAATTAGTGTGGTTTTCCAGTCTGTGTCATGGATACTTTATTTTTAAACTTGACTTCATAATAGTTTATGACATTGGCAATTTGTGAGGAATAAGAGTCAATATTCAGCTGTTGTAAATCAATGTTCCTTGCAGCAGTTTCCCTGCAGGTCCATTGATTCATAGCAGTTGATCTTGTGACAAATATGTTTCAGTCGGAGAATAGACAAGACAAGGCAGGAGGACCTTAACACATCAAGAAGCAATAAAGTAACATTGTGACAAAGCCCAGTTAAAAAAGGTACTTTGGGAAATGGCTGGGCAAGCACTACCAGCCTCCTCTGCTTATTAAATAGAATGAGACAGAGCTGTCAATGACTGGAACATCATGCAATATTTATTCCTTCCTTCAATAAACATCGATTATAGGCTTGGTGGCACATCCTCTGATCAATAGCAGGTAATACCTGAATTCAGATTTCCTTTTTATGTACGCTTCAGTATTCTTTGCACACACACACACACACACACACAGAGAGAGAGAGAAACCTGAACACATGCCCCTGAGTGTGGAATTCTTTCTGCATTTAAAACCAAGCTGGCAATACTTAATATGAAGTAGACATAAAAATCAAAGAAAGAAAGACATTCTACAGCAAGAAGAGAATGTCTTCTCCTTACACAAGACAGTCCAGGAAGCTTGTTTGAAATGCCAGATGGGTATTCATGTTGGATAAGATGCTAGTAATTTCCACATCTGAAGCTACAGAAACTTCTCCTGATGGTTACAGGATTGAAATTCTGCTTTTCTGCTAGAAAGCAGAATTACATGACTTGCTATAACCAAGTGTTTACTTGTGTAGAGTCAGATCACGTCTCCACATTTTAAATTGCACTTACTTTTCTTGCATTTGCAAGGAGTCAGCGGGATGGCAAGAGGAGGGGCGAGACTTCTATTTGCCTCATTATTGTCTAGGTTTTTACAAAATTTTATCAGACATAGTACTTGTTCTGGGAATTAAAGTTAAATTATAAATCTCCAACTCTTCTTGTCCCCCAGCAAGAGAAGCACTACATTTAGTTTTGTTTCAGTCATCTGGTGTGTTCTTTATCACTCATGAACCTGCAAGACTACTGACACAGCC